TTGGACAATTTCACATGAGCAATGTAAGCAAAATCCAGCGGAATGATTCTTCCATTCCATATTTAGCTGGAAATGGGTATGCCTTCAGATCTGTGGCCTGGAGCAAAAACACTCAGGGACAGGGCACTGAACTAACCGGGGTAAAAAAAGAATTGATCTTAATTACAATCTCCTAAAAATGTGAGGCCAATATTTGCTTCATTTTGTTTTTAGGTTTTGTTTTGTTTTGTTTTGTCAGTTGTGGGGCTTGAATCAGGGTCTGAGTGCTATCCCAAAGCTTTTTTCCTCAAGACTAGTACACTTGAGCACTAGCCTTCCAGTTTTCTGGTAAGAGTCTCATGAACTTTCCTGCCCAGACTATCTTTGAACCATGATCCTCAGATCTTGTGAGTCACCAGCGCCTACCTGTTCTTAGGTTTTTTACTCAGTGAGTTCTAGCTGTTTATATTTCTACTCTTTTGTCCCTAACCTGCATCGTTGTCTAGTTTTCATTTGATTCATCTTTCTCTACCTGCAATGTAGCTTAAAAAGTATAATGGCACTTTAGGAGTTCTGTTTGGAAATCTAATTAGCAAACATCTGTAAATTCAGGCTGGGATCGGAGCTAAGATGGAGAGTACTTGCTTAGCATGCCTAAGACCTTAAGACTTGATCTCTAGCTTGTCAGTCCACCAACCAACCAATAAAATTCATGAGTTTATTAGGCGTAGTTTCTACTTTCCATGTCACGCCAGGAAAATGCTGCCACCATAGAGAGATTGCCTTTGGTCTAGCTCCAATGACAACATTCTCTCCATCTTGTCAACCTTTACCAATAGTCTCCTCACCATCTCATGGCTTCTGCGCTTGCCTTGCCTGCAGCCTCAGCTCAGCTAGTGTTCCTGAGAACATCTGCGCAGAACCTCTCCATCAGAGTGGTCTCAGCCCCTCTGACCTCATGGTACAGGAGGTAGGACTGCCTGTCCTATGAAGATCATAGCCAGCTAGACCTTGTCCACGTTCACAGGGAGGGAGCAACCTCTGCCTCCCTGCGGGAAGGTTACACGTTATGTCATGTATCTCTCATATGTGATATCCATCATTCTGAATCTGGCTTATTGCAAATTCAGCATTAGGGCTGGCGTGTCACTCAGTGGTGGAGTGAGTGTGCATTTAGAAATGGGAGACCCTGGCTTCAATCCCTACCCTGAAGGAAAGAAGGAAGGAGGGAAGAGAGACAGGGTGAAGGAGGGGGGAATAGGAGGGGAGAATCATTAGGTAAAAGTACTAGCAAAAAGGAAGAATCCTTTTGGAATTGGTCATGTGCTGCTGAAAACATAAGTGACAGAGGCTGGCTGTGACTTTCAGAAGGATGCTGACAGAGCCTACACAAGTCACCACAAAGTCAGGACTTCTCCCACATTGAAAATAGCAAGTCCAGGGAAGCACAGTGGAAGTGTTGTTGTTGTTGTTGTTGTTGTTGGTTCCTTTTAAACTTTTTCTCTTAATTATTTTCAAATAAATTCTGCAGACTGTGACAAGTTTAGAAAGGGGTGAGAGGCCCTGTGTGTGTGTGTGTGTGTGTGTGTGTGTGTGTGTGTGTGTGCGCGCACGCGTGCGCACACAGGCATACGCGCACACACACACACACATCTTATGGCTTACCCTGAATTCCAGCCAAGGTGAATGTCAGCCATTCATTCACCAGATAATGTCTGCTGTGTATCCCGTAGGTCTATATGTAGCTTTCAAATGTCAACACCGGTTGCTTCACAATTTAACATAATTTATATTTTTTCCTGTCATTCAGTAATTAGATTATAATGTTAATATTAGCCACATAACTAAATTTCGCTAATTTTAGGCTTTTCGCTATAACATAGTTACTTTTCAGCATCAGTGCCTACCGGACTGGAGAAAAGTTTGACTTAAAGTTTAAAAACACAAGAAATATCCTAATGAATCAGTACTAATTTTGTTTTTATTGAAATAGTATTTATAATTTAGAATTCTAAAAGCAGACTATTCTTTGTGATTAGTTTACCTTCCCTTCCCTCACTAAATAAATCCATTATTGGGTCCCCACTGCTACCACCTTACCTACTGTAAGAAAGTCTTCAATGTCCTTGCATGCATTGTGTCTACATACAGAATATACTGTTTTCTTTCCATTTAGGTGACACTTGATATCACCATAATTATACATGAAAATGGGTATTGTTGGAAAGATTAATATTCTGACCTATCAGAAGAATCTACAGTTTGAATACAGTAAATCATTGCTTAATAAATCTACCACTCATACTTGACTCACCTCTGTTTAGTTGCTTAATTATGTTAGGTGTGCTTTTTGTTGATTCTCATGAACTGTTATTTTCAAAATGATGTATGTATAGTGTACTTTTTCCCACCTATGACATGTTTAAAATGCTTTGTAGTATCGGCCAGTGAGAAAGTAAATACTATACTTACTCACATTTGGCTTAGCCAATTAAGTTGCAACCCCTTTTGCAAATAGTTCAGGAAATTATTCTAAAGTTCAAGATCTCTGAGCCTGAGTGCAAAAGAACTTCAGTTATGTTGTGGTCCCTTAAATGTGAGACTCACGGCCATTCCAAGAGCCAGTTCTTATGTTCTTACATTGCCAGAAAGTTTGTGAGCCTGTTATTACAAATTAAATTACATAAAGTTACAATTCAATCTATTCTATTTAAAAAAAAATACTAAACTGTAGTTTAGTGGTGGTATGAATATAAGAGTCTCTGGGTTCCAACTCCAATACTGCAAATACACAGGCAATAAGTTCCTAGAATTCCTGAATCCCTATTTGGCCATTTCTATAACCCTACTTTTGAGACTATTTGATACTTCCTATGCCTGTATGATAACTACTTCCCACTTCTTGCCCACCCCAAGTCCAGGAAGAGTTATTCAAGGTACTGGGATTGAATTGAGTTATGTTTTCACGTAATAAAAATCATTTATAGGGCCGGCACCGGTGGCTCACACCTGTAATCCTAGGTACTCAGGAGGCTGAGATCTGAGATCACTATTCAAAGCCAGCCCAAGCAGGCAAGTCTGTGAGATTATTATTTCCATTTAATCAGCAAAAAAGCCAAAAGTGGAGGGGTAGCTCAAGTGATAAAGCACCAGTCTTGAAGTGGCGCGTGGCTCAAGAGGTAGAGCGCTTGCCTTGAGCTGAAGAGTGTAGGGGCAGTGCCCAGGCCCAGAGTTCAAGCCCCACACCCGACAAAAAAAAAAATCATTCATTGGGTGTGTGCCAGTGGCTCACACCTGTAAACATAGCTTCTCAGGAGGCTAATATCTGAGATCACTATTCAAAGCCAGCCCAAGCAGGAAAGTCCGTGAGATTATTATTTCCATTTAATCAGCAAAAAGCCAAAAGTGGAGAGGTAGCTCAAGTGGTAAAGCACCAGTCTTGAGCAAAGAAGCCAGGCTATAGCACCCAGACCTTGAGTTCAAGCCCGCCCCAGGACTGGCACCAAAAAGAATATATGAAGGTGAAGGGATACAGTAACAGTATATATATACTATATATGTAAGTTAACATCAAGACCAGATTGGATTACAACTGAATGTGTAATTTTTGTCCAATTATGATTTTAAATTGCTGGCTGCTGACCGATGTAAGAGTTCAGCTGAAATCCACAAGATCATTCCCTGAGAAACTGTTACTATAAGGAACTTGCTATAAAAAGCATGTACATTTAGTTATTACTATCAAATGGTGTGCTATACACTGTTTGTGTCAATAATATTTACAATTTACAAGCCAGGGGCTAATGGCTCATTCCTGTAACACTAACTACTCAGGAGGCTAAGACCTGGGGATTGTGATTCAATGACAACCCAAGTAGGAAAGTTCATGAGACTCTTATCTACAATTAATTGCCAAAAATGCCAGAAGTGGAGCTGTGGTTCAAGTGGTAGCATGCTAGCCTTGAGCAAAAAGAAGCTCAGAGACAGTTCCTAGGCCCTGAGTTCAAGCCCCAGGACCAGCAAAACAAACAAACAAACAAATAAATAAAATTGCAATTTACACACATACATAGAGGTGTCTACTTTTTCTTCTGTATAATCCCTTGTTAAGCATTAGCATCATATCACAAGTCCTGTAAGAAAGAATATGGCTTTTTCATAAAGTAATTGGTAGTAAGAAGTTTGCCTCTCTGTGGACATAATTTATTAGATCTTGCTCATACCTATTTAATTTAGCAGTATTGAAAACATTTCTACTTCCATCTAAGTTTGAAATACTTCCATTTAGAATGAGAATCATAAGTAAATGATAGTCGAGACATTTTTGGCTCAGCCCTAAGGACTGTGAGAATAGAATAAAAATTGGGAAACTGTTTACAACAATGACTTACAAGCTTACTCTCCAAATCAAATTATTGAAGCAGGTCTAATTTATCTTAGGTTAGTATTTTCACCTTGAAACTCACTGAAAACACACATGACCGCCCGGTTGGCTTCCTGAACAATTAGGTATGTGCACCTATTGACTCTCCTGCAGAGCCAAAAGTTGAGCCCATCCAACAACCACACAACAACAGCAAGCTTCTAATCCAACCCACACAGAAAAGGAACCATGGCTATATTTCAACACAAACTCTGTCTGAACATGCATAAAATGATGTCTGTCTCCAGGATTAGATGGGTAGTGCTGACACCTAGGTGTGATGGTTGAAGTCTTACAGATCTACAGTCCAGCAGCACCCACTTGGATTTGGGCCTTTGTCCGAAACCACAATGGATGCTTTTACTGTATGAAAAATTCCCCTTCATGGTTTAACTGGTGAAAGGGAAACACTGTCCAGATCTAACTAAGGACAAGAAATCATTGGATTTTTTTTGATGCTTGTTTAATTAAGTTCTCGTAACACCAACTGAAAAAATTTCAAATCAGAAGCAACTATGTGTTATGAGAAGACTGGGGTGGGGGGAAGAAAGGTAATTTGGGACTATGCTATAACTGCCATTTTTTGTTTTTATTCAAGGTGTCATAAAACTGAGTTCTGCCGTTGAAGGTACGTTTTTACCAGCACAAAACCCATAATGTTTTGCTTCAAGGCTGCACAGCGTGGCCTGCAGCTAGCAAGCTTCTGTGCAGTGGTGTTTTACGCCATGTTCCAATTGCCTACGTGGCCATTTTGTCCGTGCCTTTCCTCGTGCTGGTCCTGTTACGCTGCAAGTCTCTCGGCCCTCCCCCCCGCAGTGAGGGTGGCAGTAAGGGAGCACATGTGTCTGTCTGTATTTCCTCGTGCGATGGCCCCAGATCCAGAGCTCTGCCAAGAGCCTCTGGCTCCCCAGCACTTCTCTGGAGGAGTTGGACACAGTCCTGTTAGGAACCTGTGCCCTCTTCTCTCAGTAGGGCCTTGGGCTTGTGTCCCCACCTAACAGAAGATGAGGTGTGAAGACTTCCCAAGAAGAGATCTAAGTATTGACAGAATTGGTCAGTCTCATTGCCAGGTCTTCCTGGACCCAGAATTTACCATCACAAGATGCTGTAAGGACCAACTTTAGTGTTGTCTACTTAGTGAGTGGACTTTCCTTTTCAGTTATGAGATCAAGATCCTGAGAAGAAAAGGGGGGGATTTAAAGCAAGTACAAAGAGCTGGGGGAGCAACCCAGTGGTAGGGTGCTTGCCTAGGTACCTGCCACAGCACCAAAAACAACAACAAAAAAAATCTTAATATAGCTGGGTGCTGGTAGCTCATTCCTGTAATCCTAGCTACTCAGGATGCTAATAACTGTGGCTCAAGTCCCTTAGTGAAACAGCTAAAGGTCAGTGCCTAGTTCAAGAGCCAGCACACACACATAAAATTAAAATGGAATAAGTATGTACCATTGACCTGGTGATACAGATCAGCAATCTCAGCAAATGGGAGCAAGAAGCATGGAGGATCAAGAGTTTTAGGTCAGTCATGGTCAGCTTAAGCTACAGAGTGAGACCTTGTCTCAATCACCAATCCTCCAACAAAAAAGAAAGTACAAAACAGACAACAGATAACATACCAGAGATTTTACTGCATAATCCCCAAGAGTGCTTTAAAAAAAAAAAAAAGCTCATTATCTGAAATGACTAATGGGTTATTGGCATGAACTTGACCTCCTTACCCTCTTAGGGACTTTCCAATCCAGAAATAGAGGATGTGTAATTTTTCTCTTTTTGTGAGTGTCTGTGTTTGTTTTGGGGTATATGTCAGTGTTCTCATTTATTGAGAATGTGTTGGTCATGCTTCAGGGTTGTCTTCATCCTCATCACCTAATCGGGGGAGGCTGCCTGGAAGAGGTGGTGGGCTTTCAGGTGAGTTTTCTAGCTTGCATGGAGATGTGGCTTGATGGATGGGCAATATGTGCAGGTCGGAGTGGGAGTAGAGCTGGACTCAGGCAGAGGATTGAGAGGGCTGGCCCTTAAAGGTTGAGAGATGAGAGAATGAACTCAGCCATCTCTTCACATGAACTAGGGAGTTCTGCCTTCCTTGTGGATTTACTACCATCACATGCTTCAAAAGCAGTATTTAATATTGGAGAGTGAACGACCAGAGACTTAATGAGGAACAAGGAAGTTGAGGATGAGGGTCACAGTTAAGAGTCCATGCTTAGCCTGTGTGAGGCCCTCAGTCCAGAAATGAAAGAACAGGGCAACGTTGCCGGCAGTGGTGACTCAGGATGGGTAGAAAATATCAGCAAAATGATATCCCTTCAAGGAGAGAATGCATATTTCAGGACTTTGTTAAGCCAAGTTCTCTCAGCATGGCAAAATGAAGTTTGGTTCACAGGCTCTCCAGTCTGTTCCCTACCTAACAAAGAGTCCAGAAAATTGAGTCAGGAAAATGGCTCTGCCCACAGGAGCTCACAGTAGCAGCTTGAGCCTTGAGTTTGAGCTCATTATCTGGAGAAAGACAGCAACAGTTGGTCCACCCTACGCCCTTTAAATGTTTTATCAAGTAATGCCTTTCAAGTCATTACATTACCTGCTTTCTTTAAGCACAATGTACCACTTGCAACAAAAGCATTCAGAAACAAGCTGGGTGTTGGTGGATCACGCCTGTAATCCTAGCTACCCAGGAGGCTGAAATCTGAGGATCGCAGTTGGAAGCCAACTCAGGCAGAAAAGTCTATGAGACTCATGTTTCCTATTTAAAAACCAAAAAGACAAGAAGTGGACTTATGGCTCAAGTGGTAGAACACTAGCCTTAAGCACAAAAGCTCAGGGACAGCCCTAAGTTCAAGTTCAACAGCCGGCATCCCCTACCTCCACCCCTACCCCTCAAAAAAAGAAACCAGAAAGCCAAGAGAACTGTAATAATTTTTAATTGTTCTGCTGAGATTTACTATGGAATGGCTTGAGTCCTCCACACAGGGTTGTGTTTTCCCAAGAAAGACAGGAGCATGGACTAAATAGAGGGCTGGAAACAGAATAGCTGTCTGGGCCAGTAAGCCTCTAGTTGCCTGCTTTGTTGCTAGTCTTCCCCTGGGTCCCTGGAGGTTGTGGGTACCAGACATCAGGCCCAATTCGACTGCAGCTTGAGCATCTTTTTGGCAGCTTATTGGCTGAGGTCTGTAAAGCTTGCAGGCTCGGGAGCATGCTGTGTTGTACCTGTGTTAGAATATGTGTGTACAAAGGCGGTTGGGGGATGTTGTGATTGAGTAAGGGGAAATTTCCATGCATGCCTTCTTAATGCATCTAGAAGGTGAGGCTCTTATGAGCATGCTCAGTACAATGTGAGTCAAGTACTGTCTTGAGCCGTTAAAACAGCAGAGATTCAACTGCTTAGTTAATTACTGTGCTTACCAGTTTCCATTTATGGAATGAATTCCAGGCAGCTTTATGGAACTCGATCATGTTGAAGAATATGCACATCCATGGAAAAGATCCATTGCCAAGAATAAAATCTCAAAATCTTTTTCCTTTTCTTTAAAAGTGACTGTTCTGGATTATCCTAGAACTCTGAAAATAGTATTAAGATTTTAGGTAGGTTCTCTCTTTTTCTTTTTCTTTTTGTTTCTTTTTCTTTTTGAGAAGAAACAAGTGTGAGGGTCTGGGGATATAGCTAGGTCTTGAAGTGAAAGAGAACTTGCCTAGCATATATGAGGATCCTAAATTCAATCCCCAGCACTGCTAAAAGAAAAGATAAACAACTGTGAATATCACAAAAGAAAATCATGAAGATTTCACTTGCTATTTCCCACCAAAACCTTTGCCAAACAGCCTGCAGCACTGGGCTGCTTCATGTCATTAATGACTAAATTAAATATCATTTAAAAGATTCGAAATTAAACAGAAGCACACTTTGCAATATGACTTTGCAATGATTAAAAGAAATAACTGCAGGCTGAGATCGGAGGATAGCAGTTTGAAGCCAGCCTGAGCAGGAAAGTCCATGACACTCTTATCTCCAATAAGCTACTCAGAAAGAGCCAGAAGTGGCATTTGTGGCTCAAGTGGTAGAGCACTAGCTTTGAGCAAAAGAAGCTTGGGAATAGAGCTCAAACTCAGAGTTCAAGCCCCAGGATTTGGGGTAGGGAGGGGGAGGCAGGGGGGATATAAATGTAAAGTTTTATCAATAATACTGATGAATTCTCACCTCTAATTTTAGGTGAATAGCTCCACATTTGGAGATGATTGGGGTAAGAGATAGTCAGATAGCAATTTGGGGAGATAGTTGAAGCAAGGGCATGGCAAGTATTGCAAAAAAGAATCCTCTAACTATTCCTCTTAAAGGGATTTGTCTCTGGAAATTGGAGCAGAAAGAATTGGGGTTGGGGTAGACACATACTGCCATATGTATAAACAGAGCAGCATCTTTACCAAAGACAGGTGACAACTCTAAAGAGTTTAATCAGCATTACTCTGAGCCCCAGCTGGATGCTATTGGTCCAAACAATGTGATACTACTGATGGTTTGGGTTGAAATACGTGGAAGGCGTAGAGTGTCATGGGAGACCGCAGCCTGGAGGAACTAGATGAGGTGCCATGGTGGAAGGCTGGTATAGGCTATGACCTGGTATGCTCTTTGACAAGACTCCCCCTCAAAGTCTACTTGTTGTTGGGCACCAGTGGCACACACTTGCAATCCTTGCTGCTCCGGAGGCTGAAATCTGAGGACTGCAATTCAAAGCCAGCTGAGGCAGAAAAGTCTGTTGTATTCTTATCTCCAACTAACAAAAAGAGAAGTGGAGATGTGGCTCAAGTGGTAAAGCTCCAGCCATGGGAAAAAAGCTGAAGTATAGTGCCCTAGCCCAACACACACACACACACACACACACACACACACACACACACACACACACACACACACACACACACACACACCAAAGACAACTTGATGCCTTTTGGGTGATGGTTTGAAACACCAAATTAACATTGAATTCTTTTAAAGCCTAGATAAGGAAGTATCCTTAGAGAAAATCTCCCCTGCACAAGTGATATTCTCTTTCCCTTCCTTCTGGTCACTTCATTCTAAATTCAATATTTTAAATCTTATTACTCCACAATCTCCCTTAGAGAAGGACTACTTTAGGATTGTTGTCATATACAAATGGGCATGGTTTCCACAGCTTCATGGACTCTCGTCTGCCAAACAGAAAAACATCTCAACAGTTTAAAAAGAAGAAGAAGGAGGAGGAAGAAGAGGAGGAGGAGAAGGAGGAGGAGGAGGACAAAAAGAAAATTAAAAACAGGGCTGGGATATAGCTCTGGAGTAGAGCACTTACCCACAATTCACTAGGTCCTGGGTTTGATATTTGTACCATAGGGAGAGAGAGAAAGAAAGAGAGAGAGATGGAGAGAGAGGGAGAGGGAGAGAGAGAGAGAGAGAGAGAGAGAGAGGAATAGAAGAACTGTTAAGATCATTAAAATGGGCTCCATCAACACTTTGAGCTTACTCTCTGTATTGTAAATCTCAAAAAGAGCTGCCTTCCTATTATGGAGCTCTGATCTGTTCTTGTGCACCTGTAATTTACTTTGCTTAATATTCTGACCTCTTTGTACAACTACTTAAAGACTTTTTAAAAAAAATTC